AGTGACAGACATAGGCGTGTTGCAGACTTGCTTTGGTCAGGAAATGTCAGGCAGAGACGGGCAGAGAGCTGGTTGGAGCTTCCAGGCCAGGGTGCCACTGAGGCCTGGGAAGGGCCCTGTCTGTGCCCCAGCCACCTAAGAACTGGAAATCGGGCCCTTGGGGAGGCTGGGGGGCGGGGGCAGGCACCAGTGGGAAGGGTAGCATCAGAGATCAGTCTGGGCTTCCCCCCAGAGCCTGTGCAGGGAGCCAGGACACCCCCACCTCCTCCCCTGCCCCTCCCCAGAAGCGCACGCTTGCCTGGAGCCTCTGTAACGTGGCCCTTAGTGTGCACAAAGGGGAAACCTGGGCTGAAGCCTTGGACAGCTTGCTCTGGGTCACCCGGCGGGTGAATTGTGGAGCTCCGATTTGAAGTCAGGCCTTTGGGGGCAATTTATTCCTTGTCACTGTTGTGTGTAAGCCCCCACTCCCCCACACCCCACACCTCTCACCTGAACGGCCTTGCCCACCTGCTTGCTCCATCTCCACCTGCACAGGCTAAACACCAGCCATCCTTCCCCTGACGAATCCATAAACACCCATGGGGCCGCAATCATTGGTAGCAATCACAGATGGGAGATGCTGCCTTTTTTATTGTGATAAAGCATACACAGCATAACATTTACCATTGTAGCCACTTTTAAGTGGACAGTTCTGTGGCACTGAGTAAATTATTATTCCCCTTATTTAATGCAGCTGAAGAAGCCAATTCTCAGAATGTTCTGTTTGCCCCAATTGCAAGACTGGTGAGGGCGGACTGGGACTCAAACCCTGGCCTCAGAGGTACCAGCTGCCTGCTGTCATCGGCTCAGTGGGGACCCACCCAAAAGCTACTGCTGCGCCTGGGCTAGCATTTCCTGGGGCCAGTCAGAGAAGGCCTGGGAGGGGGCGTGAGGGGCCTCCTCAGAGCTTTCCCCATGCCCAGAGACCTGGCTGGCCTTCTCCTCCCGACCCCTCTTACCCTTCTGACCCAGGATGAAAAAAACCACCAGTTCCCCCCCAGCCACCACCACCCCACTCTGTCCAAGCCTCAGCAGCTGAGCTTCCACAGGCACATCCAGTGTCAAGTTTGCAGCCAGCCCAGGCCGACTTCTTCACAGCACACGTGCTGCTCCCCTCCTGACACCTCTGAAGGTGCTGGGGAGCGGCTGGTGACAGCAGGCGGTGGGCTTGGCAGGGGGGCGCTGCTCCCAGGAGGCCGGGTGGCAGCCCTGCCACCTCCAGCCTCCTGACGCTTGTTACTGCCTCCAGCCTGCTCTGCCAGCAGCCGCCTCCCTCCATCCTCCCCGCCAGTGTTCCGGGGACTGTTGAGAGCAGTTCTAGGCCAAGGTGGTTTTCTTATCTGTAGCTGGCAGGTGGTCTCAGGGAACTCAAAACTTTCTGATGTCATCTGAGTGAGTTTTTCAAACCACACCCATGGATGTGCCTCAGGGTGTCTTTAGATGGAGTTTGAGGGAAGGCTGACTGGTAGGGCTATCTTTGGCCACATCCTATGGCAGGACCTATACAGTCCTGTTTTTATTCATTTCATTTATTTACTGTCTGCACTGTGAAGCTTGTGGCATCTTAGTTCCCCGACCAGGGACTGAACGTGCACCCTTGTCAATGAAGGTGTGGGGTCTTAACCCCTGAACCATCAGGGAATTCCAAGTTTTTACCTGTTTTCTTTTTTTTAATTAATTTATTTTTTAATTGAGGGATAATTGCTTTACAGAATCGTGTTGGTTTCTGCCAAACATCAACATTTTTTTAATTAAAAAATCATTTTATTTTTAATTGGAGGATAATTACTTTACAATATTTTGATGGTTCCTGCTATATGTCAGTATGAGCCAGAAGTATAAACATGTCCCCTCCCTCTTATACCTCCCTCCCACCTCCCTCCACATCCCACCCCTCTAGGATGTCACAGAGCACCAGCTTTCTGCTCCCTGCATCATGCAGCAAATTCCCACTGGCTATCTATTTTACATATCGTCACGTATATGTTTCAATACTACTTTCTCAAGTCATGCCACCCTCTTCCTCCCTTGCTGTGACCATGAGTCTGTTCCCTATGTTTGCATCTCCTTTGCTGCCCTGCCAATATATCTGTTTTATATATTGAGAGTCTAGGTAAGGTCTTTTGGTTGATGTTACTCTTACTTAAAAGGGTTTTTTTTTTTTTTTTTTTTTTAATGGACCTTTTTCCTGGAGTTCAAGAGGGAGGGGACATATGTATATCTATGGCTGATTCATGTTGATGTTTGACAGAAAACAGCAAAATTCTGTAAAGCAATTATCCTTCAATTAAAAAATAAATACATTTTTTAAAAGAATGGACCTTTCTCCCAGACAGGGAAATGGAAGTTTGCTAAGAAGGATTTGCCCAAAGTTATTCAGGGCTAATGGACGCCCCCGAACTCATTCACCTCTTCCAGCTCTTGCTTATTTGGATGCTGAGTTTCTTTCATGGAGGAGGGTGACGCAGAACCCTGGTCTCTCCGACTGTTGGCCGGAAGCCCCCACCTCCGCTTCAGAGCCCCCTGTGCTCGGCCCCCTCAGCCCGCCGTGTCGGCAGCTCTCTCAGCTCCCCCAGCACCTCTGGTCTCAGCCCCCATCTACGTCTCTCACTTCCACGTGGACGTCTGGGTGTGTGAGTGTCAGTGCTGTCGCCACTCCAGGTGTGTCCCACACCCAAGCTGCTGCCACCCAAGTCCTGTCCCCAGAGAGGGAGGGAGGAAGCCGGGGGAAAGACTAGACAGACCCGGGAGCAACTGGGAGTGGGGAAGCCACAGCTCCCTGCAGTGAGACGGGAGAGGGAGAAGGTGGAGGCAGGTAGGGGGGAGGAGAGAGAGAGACACATAAGAGAAACCCGGAGAGAGACTAATCTGATGGGGGTGGAGAGACACTCGCAGATGGGAGAGAGGTGGAGAGGGAGACCCAGAGAGGGGGCGGAATAAAGACAGACGTGGGAGGGGGTACAGAGACACTTCCAAAGAATGGTGAAGAGGTAGCTTGTGAAAGAGACAGGAGAGAGGAGAGATGAAGACAGGTCTGGCCGAAGACAAGCGGGATATTAGAGATCAGGAAATGTCACCCGCCCTAGGGCTGCGGCTGTGTCACGGTGAAGGATGCGCCGAGCGTGGGGTCTGACACTCGATCCAGCTGATAGATGTTGGGGGGTCCCATTGCCAGCAGCCTGTCACTCCCCTCTGCTGGCCGCCGCCTTCCAGAGCTGGTCCAGCTTTCCTTCAGTGTCCTCCAGATGAGCTTAGCATGGGCATCCCTAAAGAGTAGTAGAGGCTGGTGCTTCTGCTGAGAACAGTCATGACTGTTGGGTTGGCACAGAGGTAGAGGTGTGGGTGAGCCGGCTTGCTCAGAACCCCCTGCTGGCTACAGAATGGGGGCTTGTTTTCAACTTAGTAGTTGGGGAGCATGGAAGAAAGCAGACAGCAAATGTGTGGAGGGGCCGGACGGCTGTGATGGGAGGACCGGTTAGATCTTGGCCTTCCCAGGATCAAGCACAAAGATCCAGGGCTCCCCTTCCAGTGGCCCCCAGACCTGCCCCCTGGTTCTGCATGTGAGAAGACTCTTCATGGGGTCCCAGAGACTCAGGCCCCACCATGATGCTTCAGCGTGGCTCTGGTTCTAGACTAAACCTTCCCTTCTCCTGCCTGGGGGACAGGGCCTCTGAGGACCCCTGCCAGCAGATTGGTAGAGCAAGGACCATAGGCCTGGGGGCTGCTCAGCAGGGCGGGAGTGCTCCACCACCCACTTTGTCTCTGGGGTTTATGAGGATTTCAACCTCATGGTCACATCCATTCACCTCCTGGAGCCTCGGCTGTCCTGTGTGAAGAATAGGAGGAACCATTCTGCCCTGGGTGGGCTTGGAACGCAGTGAGATTACTGGAGAAGGTGAAGCCCGGTAAATTCACTGGGACTGGGGAAGGAGGGTGCGAGGCTCTGAGGAGAGGGCGTTGGAGCTGCCAGTTGAAGGGACTGGGGAGACCTGGGTGTAAGGCCCCCGAGGCAGGACCAGGCTGCCGCTTGAAGGGACCTAGAAGGCCAGGGTGGCCATCATAGTGAGACGGGACCCCGCCTTGTGAGAGGAGCGGTAAGAGGAACCAGGCAGAGCCCCGTCCTGCGAGGGCCACCACGAGGATGGTGTATTATCCTCACGCCAGCGGGGAGCCCTTGGAGGGTTGTGAACAGGGAATGGCAGGATCTGATTCATGTTCTGAAAAGCTTTCTCTGGCTGTTGCATAGAAGTGGTTGCTGTGGGTGAGGGGAGAGAAAGCCTGGAGACGCGCCCACCCATTAGGAGCAGGAGCTGCTGGGAGAGAGCTGGTTGGGCCTGAGGTGGGGGTGGTGGAGAGAAGGGACCTAGATGTCATCCCACCATCCCTCCGAGGCTGGCCTGCCTGGAGACACTGCTCAAGGAAGTCCCTCCCAGTTGCCATGGATCAGGGGGTGGGAGGGTAGGGCTGGCTGCTGGGAGGGAATGTGGCTTTGTGCTTGGAAAACAAAGAACAGAGCTTGGGGCTGACTTCTCTTGGGGGTGGGGACAGGGCCAGAGGCTGTTGACAGGCCCAGAGGCTGAACTACAGGGCAGGGCTTGGCAGGAGCTGGCTGTGGCCCCAGACGTCAGGGAGGACCCAGGAGGCCCCCAAGGGTGACCAAGGGGCTGCAGGACTTTGCCTGGGGTGGGGGCGGGGTGAAGAAGCAGGGAGAAGGATGCTCAGACCCCTCCAGCCTGCAAGTCAGGCCGCAGAGGGAAATGAGGCAGAAAGGGCCCTGGGCCACAGGGTTAGGCCGAGGGTGGGGGGCAACAAATAGGGGTCTGGGGCTGCGTTCGAAGGGACGAAGGAGGTTCCCGGGTGCTCCTGGACCCTGACCCCAGGACCTGACCAGCCACCCTGCCTCCCCGCAGCCCTGCTGCTGAGGCCCAGCCCACCCTGGCTGGAGGTGGCGGCCCGCCAGGATGAGCAAGCTGTCCGGGGACCTGCTGGCCCGCGACCTGGAGCGCAGCCTGCCGGCCGTGGCCTCCCTGGGCTCATCACTGTCCCACAGCCAGAGCCTCTCCTCGCATCTCCTCCCACCGCCGCTGCCGGAGAAGCGCCGGGCCATCTCCGACGTCCGCCGCACCTTCTGTCTCTTCGTCACCTTCGACCTGCTCTTCATCTCTCTGCTCTGGATCATTGAGCTGAACGTGAGTGGGGCCACAGGTCCGGTTGGGGGAGCGGTGTTGCCTGGGCCTCGGAGGGTGGCCTCTGGGGGCGTGTTGATTTCCAGGTGAAATAAAGAGTGAGACCAGAATAGCTGTTCCCGTCTTCCAGAGAGAGAAACACAGAGATGTTAAGTTGCTTATCCGAGGTCTCTCAGCAAGTGTTATGAAGAAGGCAGGGTTTGAACCCAGACCTGCGCCCCAGAACTCACGCACTTGACCTCTGCGCCACACTGGCCCCTAGTGGACACTCTTGAGAAAGGAGGCGGGATCCCAGAGGGCTCTGGTGGAGCTGTTAGGACCTTTGTCTTCTTTCTGCTCTACATTGCTCTCTGGCTTAGTTCATTCATTCATTCAGCAAATATTTCTGAGTCCCTGCTGTGTCCCAGGCGCTGTGCCGAAAGCAGAGGGAACAGTGGGTGGCAATCTGTAAAGACTCCCAGTGACGCCCAGCTTTCCTTCCCCATCTCGGGCTTTCTTCCAGTGTCCCCAGTTTTGGCCTCTTGGTTTTGGTGAGATTCTACCTAACAGTCTGGAGACAGAGCTGCCTGTCAGGGTGGAGTCTGCCCCCCACCCCCGCCATGCAGTGGTTGGCCAGCTGGCAGTGGGGCCTCATCTCCGGGTGCTGACAGGGCAGAGCAGGACCTGATGTAGAGGTAGGAGTGTGGAACCAGGGCATCCTGGGCTTGGTCCCCCATCCCAGCTTCTGCTCCATAGGAACTGTGTGACCTCAGTGAGGGACTCAGCCTCTCCAGGCCTCCCCTTGTTCTCCTTGTCCAAAGTGGGTCAGAGTTCCGGATGGCAGGTGTCCTTCCCCCAGGTCTCAAGCTCGGTCAGTCAGTCACTCAGTCGTGTCCGACTCTTTGCGACCCCATGGACTGCAGCACGCCAGGCTTCCCTGTCCATCTCCAACTCCCAGAGCTTACTCAAGCGCATGTCCATCAAGTCGGTTATGCCATCCAACCATCTCATCCTCTGTCATCCCCTTCTCCTCCTGCCTTCAGTCTTTCCCAGTATCAGGGTCTTTTCCAATGAGTCAGTTCTTAGCATCAGGTGGCCAAAGGACTGGAGTTTCAGCTTCAGCATCAGTCCTTCCAATGAGTATTCAGGACTGATTTCCTTTAGGATGGACTGGTTGGATCTCCTTGAAATCTTAGGGTCTCTCAAGAGTCTTCTCCAACACCACAGTTCAAAAGCATCAATTCTTCGGTGCTCAGATTTCTTTATAGTCCAACTCTCACATCCATACATGACCACTGGAAACACCATAGCCTTGACTAGATGGACCTTTGTCGACAAAGTAATGTCTCTGCTTTTTAATATGCTGTCTAGGTTGATCATAGCTTTAATTCCAATGAGCAAGCGTCTTTTAGTTTCATGGCAGCAGTCACCATCTGCAGTGATTTTGAAGCTCAAAAAAATAGTCTCTCACTGTTTCCGTTGTTTCCCCATCTATTTGCCATGAAATGATGAGACCGGATGCCATGATCTTAGTTTTCTGAATGTTGAGTTTCAAGCCAACTTTTTCACTCTCTTTTTCACTTTCATCAAGAGGCTCTTTAGTTCTTCTTTGCTTTCTGCCATAAGGGTGGTGTCAAATGCATATCTGAGGTTATTGATATTTCTCCCAGCAATCTTGATTCTAACTTGTGCTTCATCCAGCCCAGCATTTCTCATGATGCACTCTACATATAAGTTAAATAAGCAGGGTGACAGTATACAGCCTTGACATACTCCTTTCCCTATTTGGAACTAGTCTGTTGTTCCATGTCTGGTTCTACTGTTGCTTCTTGACCTGCAGGAGGCAGGTCAAGGTGGTCTAGTATTCCCATCTCTTTAAGAATTTTCCACAGTTTATTGTGACCCACCCAGTCAAAGGCTTTGGCATAGTCAGTAAAGCAGAAGTAGATATTTTTCTGGAACTCTCTTGCTTTTTTGATGGATGCCAACAGATGTTGGCAATTTGATCTCTGGTTCCTCTGCCTTTTCTAAATCCAGGTTGAGCATCTGGAAGTTCATAGTTCACATACTGTTAAAGCCTAGCTTGGAGAATTTTGAGCATTACTTTGCTAGCGTGTGAGATGAGTGCAATTGTGTGGTAGTTTGAGCATTCTTTGGCATTGCTTTTCTTTGGGATTGGAATAAAAACTGACCTTTTCCAGTCCTGTGGCCACTGCTGAGTTTTCCAAATTTGCTGGCGTATTGAATGCAGCAAGCACTTTCACAGCATCATCTTTTAGGATTTGAAATGGCTCAACTGGAATCCCATCACCTCGACTAGCTTTGTTCATAGTGATGCTTCCTAAGGCCCACTTGACTTTGCATTCCAGGATGTCTGGCTCTAGGTGAGTGATCACACCATCATGATTATCTGGGTCGTGAAGATCTTATTTGTATAGTTCTGTGTATTCTTGCCACCTCTTCTTAATATCATCTGCTTCTGTTAGGTCCATACTGTTTCTGTCTTTTACTGTACCTATCTTTGCATGAAATGTTTCCTTGGTATCTGTAGTTTTCTTGAAGAGATCTCTAGTCTTTCCCACTCTATTGTTTTCCTCTATTTCTTTGCATTGATCGCTGAGGAGGGCTTTGTTTTCTTTCTCTTTTTTTTTTTTTTTTTGAGGAGGGCTTTCTTATCTCTCCTTGCTACTCTTTGGAACTCTGCATTCAAATGGGTATATCTTTCCTTTTCTGCTTTGCCTTTTGCATCTTTTCTTTTCTCAGCTATTTATAAGGCCTCCTCAGACAGCCATTTTGCGTTTTTGCATTTCTTTTTCTTGGGGATGGTCTTGATCCCTGCCTCCTGTACAATGTTGCAAACCTCCGTCTCAAGCTCAGGGGTCAGGAAAACAGTGACTGTTGTTACAAAGGAGGAGCTTAGAGAAGGAGCTGGTTTAGGGGTGAGTTTGATTCTGGGCATGCTGAGCTGGACGGCGAGGCAGGGCTCTGAGGGTGATGCTCCTTTGTGCACAGAGGGGAGCTGGCAGCCTCAGCGAGAAGGGGCCACAGCCATGGGGGAGTTTAAGGACCGTCTTACTGATGAGAGAGCTGAGGCTCAGCGAGGTCCAGGGTCATTGAAGAGTTTCTGAGGTCTTAGACCTTCTTCCTTTGGACGGTCCCCTTGGGCTCCTCTGGTGGCTGAGGCGGTAAAGGATCTGTCTGCCGTGAGGAGACCCACGTTTGATCCCTGGGTTGGGAAGATCCCCTGAAGAACGAAATGGCAACACATTCCAGTATTCTTACATGGAGAATCCCGTGGACAGAGGAGCCTAGCGGATCCATGGGGTCACAAAGAATCGGACACAACTGAGCAACTAACACTTTCACTTTCTAGCATCAAAGCAGGCACTAAAAGGCACTAAAATTCACCCACATCCTTCATTAAATGTATGTATAATATTTTCTTGACAGAAGAGAGCTGAAAAAAATGTTTGACAATTTTACTTTGGAAACTGTATGGCTATACTGGCTGTAATAGCTCAGCAGTCATCATGCAGACTTGAAAATTCTCATCGAGTGAGAAAATCTAACCTCCAAATTATTTTCAAATTTGATGAAAAGTTTCAGAACGCTGAATTTAACAGTTCATAGAATTAACATCATGTTTCTCTTGGTAGACAATTAAATTTTTTATTATTTTTTTCAATTTTGCCATTTTCATAGTTTGAAACATATGTATTTTTAGTTTTTTTTAAAATATTTATTTACTTAGTTTGATTTATTATTTACTTACTTGGAGAAGGAAATGGCAATCCACTCCAGTATGCTTGCCTGGAGAATTCCATGGACAGAGGAGCCTGGTGGGCTACGGTCCATGGGGTTGCAAAGCGTTGGACACGACTGAGCACACAGCACTTATTTGACTGGGTCTTAGTTGTGGCACATGGGATCTAGTTCCTTGGCCAGGGATTGAACCCAGGCCCCCTGCATTAGGAGCACAGAGTCTTAGCCACTGGTCCTCAAGGCCCATCTTGCTGATGAGAGAGCTGAGGAGTAGCGAGGTCCAGGGTCATTGAAGAGTTTCTGAGGTCTTAGACCTTTCTTTGGACGATCCCCCTGGGCTCCCCTGGTGGCTCCACCAGGTGGACCACCAGGCAAGTCCCTGTTTTTAGTTTTCTAACAGACTGTGTGTTGCCCAGTGTATGCAAGGACCCTGACCCGGCTGTGAGACCGGCGCCAAGGTCTTGCAGCCAGAACTGGCAACACAGGAGCAGGCACTCGGCTGTCCTGAGTCCTGGTGCGGTGGGCTGGCCGGGGGGTATGCAGGCAGGGGAGAGTTCTCTGCAAAGAGAAAAACCGTGGAAGAGAGAGCTCTGTGGACAGCGACTCTGGAGCCCAAGAGGGCGTAGTCTGAGGACTAAGAGGAGGATCAGGCTGGGGTGGGTTGTGACGTCAGCAAGGCGTTTGACTCAGTGGGGTGCAGAGTGGTCTTGAGGCTGAGGCGTTTGGTGAGGGATGCACCAGGGCGTGAGACTCAAGTGAGGGGCTGTCCAGGTGGCTGGCTTTTGCCCTGAGCATCAGAACCACTCAGGAGCTTTACAGCCATTCCAGATGCTTGGCTCACCCCGAGAGTCAGACCAAGCGTCTCAACGTCTGCATCTTTAACACCTCATCCCCCGCCACCGCCCCGATTCAGGTCATCTTCCAGAGATCAGAGGCCCTGATCTAGGTAGTCGTGAAGGGTCTTCCCCTTCAGGGCCCCCAAACTCCGTCCCCCGGAGCCCCCTTGTGCCCCCCTTCTCTGGGGGCTGGCACCCCACCTGCAGAGGCATGGGCCTGCCACCCCATTCCACCTGAGGCGTCAGGCTGCAATCTAGCTCTCAGTGGGCATCCGGACTCCTTACTCCCCAGCCAGGCTCTCAGGGATCCCATTGAAAATGTGTGGGTGGCCAGGGCACGGACCACCTTGCCTCTGCAAGGACCAGTCTGCTCACTCTGCATGCCATCCTCTCTAGCAGCTTGATGGATTTTGCCCATTAAGCACAAACCTAATCAATCGATTTGCCACCTGGGGCTCCGTCTGACACCACTGCCCACCCCTGGCCCCCGTCACCCCAGATGGATGCTTGGCTGGGAAGATGGAGCACCACAGTGGTGCGAGGGAGAGGAAGTTACGGGAGAGGCTGGCTCCCAGCTCCCTGTCTGCCACCATAGAGCCTGCATAGGGCCCATCACCTCCCAAGGCCCTCCAGGCTTGCCCCTTTCTAGGCAATGTGCTCATGAGTGGCAGGAGGCTCAACTCTGCCTGTTTGGACTTCCTGGATCCTTAGAGAAACAGTCTCAGCGCTGGGGTCTCAGACCCCTGGCTGAGCTCGCCTGGTGCCTCGGGGCTCATCAGGTGGTAGCTGAGCATTTACAGCCTCTCCTCCAGGTTCCACCTACCCACTCTGGGAGGACGAAGGGCAGCCCTGGGGACTTGGTCCTACCCACGTCTTTCTCTTCCAGACCAACACAGGCATCCAGAAGAACCTGGAGCAGGAGATCATCAACTACAGCTTTAAAACTTCCTTCTTTGACATCTTTGTGAGTGGCCTTGGAGATCCTGTGGGCAGAGAGGGAGCAGGGACAGGGTTCTTTGGTTGTATTTTCTTCTTCCTGCAGCATGCATCCTAATCTGATCAGGGAGCCCTCAGTATTCAAGCCTGTTCCCAAATGAGGCCCCACTTTCAGAGAGCCCCAAGTGGGAGGGGAAGACAAGACCCCCGTCCAAGGAGGTCACATGTAATCCCCAAAGAAGCACTGACTTGGCCTCGGCCATGCTCTGCCAGGGCATGCACACCATGTGGGGAGCCTGGGGGAGCAGGGTGGAAGGGGCGGCCAGCCTTCGGCCGGGGTAGGGCCCACGGCTGCCTGTGATGGCTCCCCTACTCCTGTACCAGGTCCTGGCCTTCTTCCGCTTCTCCGGACTGCTCCTGGGCTATGCCGTGCTGCGGCTCCGGCACTGGTGGGTGATTGCGGTAAGATGCCACTTTCCTGGCAGCTCTCGGGCCCTGGCGGGGCTGGTTCATGGGATGGGATGGAGGAGGACTTACTCCCCAGGCTCCGTCTTCGCTCTGTCTTTCTCCCTCCCCTGGGCAGGTCACCACGCTGGTGTCCAGTGCATTCCTCATCGTCAAGGTCATCCTCTCTGAGGTCAGTGGCTCGGGGTCTGGCTGGTGTGGTGGGCATCTGGCCTGCGGGATGGGCTCGTCCCAAAAAGGGACTGCTTCTCTGACTGGGTTTCTTTCCCTATTGTCAGGGTTGGGTGAGGGGGATTCCTGTCCTTGGCTTTTTCTAAGGGGTCATCTTTACTGGCTTTGCCCACTTGCCCTGCTGAAACCCTAAGAACAGAAATTCCTCCTCCAGCCTGACCTTAGTGTATCCTGCTGTAGAATTCATTAACCCCTCCGTTTCAGAGGCATGTGCCACAGGAGGGGGCCAAGCAGCTGGTACCAGGAGTGGGGTGTAGGCCAGAGTCAACAGCCACGGGGTGGGGCTCTGGGTCGGGGGTGACCCCCGGCTGTGGAGCTCAGCCCGCTCCCTCCGCAGCTGCTCAGCAAAGGGGCCTTCGGCTACTTGCTCCCCATCGTCTCCTTTGTCCTCGCCTGGTTGGAGACCTGGTTCCTTGACTTCAAAGTCCTACCTCAGGAGGCTGAGGAGGAGCGATGTGAGTGCTGGGGGATGAGGGGATGCAGCGAGGGTCACCCCCACCCGAGAGAGGAGAGTTTCTGGCATGAAGGCCAGTTCTGAGCTCTCTTGCCAACTCTGCCTCCAAGAGCCTTAAAGAGAGCCGGGGCTGGGGAACACTAGGCTGCCAAGGCATGATTGTCCTTGGTCTGGGACGATGGCTGCCCATGTCTGCCCCCCAGGGTACCTTGCCGCCCAGGCTGCTGTCGCCCGAGGACCCCTGCTTTTCTCCGGTGCTCTGTCTGAGGGCCAGTTCTATTCACCCCCAGAGTCCTTTGCAGGTGAGGGTTGGTGGGTGAGGGAACTACCTCCAGGGAGGGGCTTTATGAGGAGCAGGATGGCTGGATCTGTGCTTCCTTGTCCTTCTATCAGCTCCCTGGGGAAAGCGAGCAGTCCTCTCACACACACAATCTTATCCCCCCACACCATTGCACCTGTACCCCAGCCCCTCACCTCCCCACCCCTGCTCCCCGCCTCTTCCCATTGCCCTCCGCGCTTGTTTTTCTGCAGGGTCTGACAATGAATCCGATGAAGAAATTGTTGGGAAGAAAAGCTTCTCCGCCCAGGTATTTGGCTGCCTGCCCCTACCCGGGGTGGGCACCCCAGAGAAGAGCCAGCACTGGGCTCAGCCAGGTGGGCAGGGGCTTCCCAGAGGAGGGCAGACCTCAGGCAGCCTGAAGGCCTGTCAGTGTCCGTCTGAGTGTCTGGCTCACCGTCAGTCAGGCCCAGTGGTCTTCGTCCTGCCTGGGTCCCGGGGTAACAACCACAGCCCCTGGTCCCCGGGAGCTCACAAGGCTGCAGAGACCAGCCCAGATCCTGCCTCTGGACATCCGGCTGAATCCGGCCTCCAGAAGAGACGTGTGCAGTGTCTAGAGATGCACCCAGAGGGGTGTGTCAGCTCCCAGGCTGACCGCTTCCCGCCTCCCCTGCCTGGCCAGGAATGGGAGTACATCCTTCAAGGGAAGGAGGCCATGGCGGTGGTGGACCAGATCTTGGCCCAAGAAGAGAACTGGAAGTTTGAGAAGAATAATGTAAGAAACCTTTCTCCCACCGGACCCTGAGAGTTGGCTTGTAGGGAGATTCCCCTCCCTTTTCTGAGGCCTGAGAAAGAAGCCCAAAGATTGCATGGGTTGGAACCCTATTTCTGCCCCAGGGGAGGGGGCTGGGCCCTGGGGTCAGCCCCGCGGCCTGGATTGGACATTTCGAGCGCCCCTCCCCCTGCCCCCCCACGGCGCCCCGCCCCTGCTGTCTGCTGCCTCAGCTCCAGCTTTGAAGGGGAAGCCAGGCTTCTGTGCTGTGTCCGGTGTTTTGTTTCATGATCAAAACAATATTATCTAGAAAGATGGCAGAGAGCTTGGAAAACATCCCCGTCCCTCGCTCTGGCCAGCTCCCCTGGCAGCCTCGGCAGCCTGGAGACACAGGCCTTCGTAGCTGTAGCCGCAGCTGTGCTCCTGCCTTTTAACTTGATATCAAAAGCCTTTCTCTCCTCATGGCAGGACATTTGTCAGAACCACTGTTTTTTAATGGCTGCTCAAATATCCCAAACTCCTAAAGTTTTCTCCCCTGAGCTGTTAAAATCCTGCCCTGCCTGTCACCCATTCTTGCCCCCACCCCGGCTCTCTCCTGCCCTCCACTCACCTCCCCACTACCCTTCTCTCCCTGCCATAGGAATATGGGGACACTGTGTACACCATCGAAGTTCCCTTTCACGGCAAGACCTTCATTCTGAAGGTGGGTGATGGAAAGAGTGTTCTGGAGCCTCTTGCTCTGCCTGGGACTCCAGGAAGGACCCAGTGGTGTGGGGACCCTCCGGCAGGTTTCTTCCACCCAGCGGGGAAGGGTTGGTGTGCCCAAGTACATCTGGCGCCATCCAGCCCTCTGCCCGCTCTGCCCCAGACCTTCCTGCCCTGCCCCGCGGAGCTGGTGTACCAGGAGGTGATCCTACAGCCTGAGAGGATGGTGCTATGGAATAAGACAGTGACCGCCTGCCAGGTGAGCTGAGCCGGCGGTCCAGGCCTGGCATCCCTCGGGGCAGAGCCACCTGGCAGGTGAGGGCATGGTCCAGTGTGAACAGTGAACCCCCTGGGGACCTGGGTCACATCACTGAACTACTCTGGGCCTCAGCTTCCCCATCTGTAAAATGGGGATGGTGGTAATAGTGCCTCCAAGAGAGGGTCGGGAAGATGGAAGGACGAAATGCTCAGAGAGCTGGGCCCAGCGCCGGTGAATGGAAGTGGCTCCTAGTTACGGGGCCTGAGCAGGGAGCCGGCTGACCTGGGGGCTTTCCTGAGATGCAAGGCCCTTCCTTGGGGTTTTCCTGGGGTGGCTGTACCTCACCTCTGCCCTGATGCCTGCAGATCCTGCAGCGAGTAGAAGACAACACCCTCATCTCCTATGATGTGTCTTCAGGGGCCGCGGGTGGCGTGGTCTCCCCCAGGTGAGCCCCCCGACCCCCCGCCTCAGGCAGACCTCCTGCCCTTGGACCTTCTTGGCACGCCCCTCACCTAATCATCCCCCTCCAGGGACTTTGTGAATGTTCGACGCATCGAGCGGCGCCGAGACCGATACCTGTCCTCGGGCATCGCCACCACGCACTGCGCCAAGCCCCCGACGCACAAATACGTCAGGTGAGCCGACCCTTGCCTGGGGTCGTCCGCACCAGCTCCTCCCCTGGTGGCCGTGAGAACGGGGAAGGGCTGGTGTGCACAGCCGGGCACTTTCTCCTGCTGAGGCTGCCTTTGTGTCCCCAGTCCCACTGTCCCTAATCCTGGTTATCTGGAACCACCACCAGGCTTGGGGGAGCTCCAGGGTAGACGGAGGATGGCGATGAGTAGGGACCAGCCGGGAAGGGGGCTGGGAGCCGTGAGGTGGCTGGTCTGGGGGACCAGCACAGCAGGAGGCTCTGTGTTCTGAAGCATCGCCTTCCTGCCTTTCATCCCCTTCTCCCTGTCCCGCAGCTTTGCCTCACCCCCGCAGTGCTTGGAGGTACCCAAAGGGAGAGGCCTGAGTCCTCTGCTGTCTGTTCCACGGCCTCCTCCAGCCCCCCGGCTCTCTAGTCCTAGTGCTGTGCGTGGCCTCCTCCCAGACACCCCACACTTCCCCTTCTGTCCTGGGGTTCTGCAGAGAGCGCTGCTCTTCGTGTGTCAGCCCGGGGCTCTGGTCTCACCACCACCACGGTGTTTGCTGGGTGATGGGCAAGCTCGTTTCCCCTCCAGACGCCAGCTCTCTTTATCTGTGGAGGCGGGGGAGCTGATGGGATGTGAATCCTATTGCTCAGGCCTGAGGCCTCCCAGGAAGGCGCCCCCTCGTGGAACCCCGCGGCTCTGCACTGCTCCCAGAGCTGGGCCCGGGGAGAAGTGCTCACCCCCGCACTACAGGCGTCCCTGGACAGACTAGATGAGGGCTGGAAGGTGGTATGCGCCCTGCCCCTGGGGCTGTGCAAACATCAACAGGCTGTTGGAGGAGGATTCGAGCACCCCATAGCAGGTGGGGTGGGGGGCTGTATCCTGTGGCGTCTGGGACACCCGTTTCGGGCCCTGCTCAGACCAGCAGCTCCCTTCCTGCTTCCACCCCAGTCCAAGGTGGGTTGGGGCAGAGCGGGGGTCTGGGGTTTCGCCTGGCTCAAGGTCCCCCACCAGTGCCTCTCTCCTCAGGGGAGAGAATGGTCCTGGGGGCTTCATCGTGCTCAAGTCGGCGAGTAACCCCCGAGTCTGCACCTTCATCTGGATCCTTAACACAGATCTCAAGGTGGGCATGCTGGGGCTGCGAGGCAGGCTCTGCGGAGGGGAGGGGACTTGCTGTGTGGCCTTGGGCGTCCCTGCTCCCGGCTTCCCTGCTCTCCGCCTCCTTTCTTCCTCTGAAACTGGGGGCAGGGTCCAGATGGTCTTCTCGCCCTGAGGCCCTCTGCCTCCCCTCTTTACCTCTGACTCCTGAGGCCCGAGGAAGGGTGGCTGGCTGCCAGCCCACCCCCTCCCGGGTCTGTTTGTGTGACTCGTGCCAGGACCCGGGCACGGCATGTTCTTCCTGCCAGGGGTGGGGGAGAGGGCGGCCTCGGCTGCATGCCAGAGCTGCACCTGCATTCGGGCGCCAGTTGTTGAGGGGGAGCCCCTGCCGAGGGCCGGCCTTCCTGGAACCTCTCGCCTCCCCCAGGGCCGCCTGCCCCGGTACCTCATCCACCAGAGCCTCGCAGCCACCATGTTCGAATTTGCCTTCCACCTGCGGCAGCGCATCGGAGAGCTGGGTGCCCGGGCATAAGGGTGCCTCCTCGCCACCCTGCGGGCCAGGGTCCTGTCGCCACAGCCTCCAGAGCCAGAGGGGGGCACTGCTTGGGCTTCCCGCTGCCCACGGAGGACCTGGCCTCAGCAGTGGAGAGGAAGGCGCTTCCTCCCCAGCAGCACTGTGACCTGAGCTGCCGTCCAACACCGAGTCGGCTGAGGGCCCAAGCGCGGGGACTGTACTGCTGCGCCCGAATGGGCCTTTCCTGCCAGCGGTCACACGGCCTCCTGCCTCTGGGAGGAGCAGACCCACTGTCCCCTACCTGGCCCGGGGCAGGGTCTGGAACGGGAGCCACGGACTCGGCGGGAGAGGACCCTGGGCAGGACTGAAGTTAGGGCAGCTTGTCACCAGTGTGAAGGTGTGGGAGCCCCTTCTGCCTGCTCTCGCATCACGGTTTTTTAGGATTATTTAAAGGGTCTGGGACCTTTCTCCACTTGCACTTCCACCTGTAGGGGTGTGGGTGGCAGGTGGGGGTGGTGGGCACTGGCGGGGAACCTGCCTCTCCCAGGTTCTCTCCAGGTTGCTGCCCTCCACCCCCACCCCCAGGACCTCCTTGGGGACCTTTGTAATTTGAGCCAATTAAAAACAGGAACTCAAAAAAAAAAAAACCAGCCCCTGCAGCCTGGCCTCTTGAGAGTAAAAAAAAAGGGCAGCACTTAGGGCGTAGGGGAAGGAACCCTCCTCCAACCTACACATGACCCTCTCCTGCCCTCCCAGAGCCAGAATAGAGCCAGTGGGGGGCCCAGTTCTCGAACCACCCCCCACCCCGGTTCAGCTGGGCAGATAAGTGGTCAGAGAAAAATTCCCTGCCTCCCGCCGGCCAGGTCTCCGGCTAAGGAAGGTCAGGTTAAGGTCTCCAGCCCAGGATGGGGAGGCGGGAGGTAGCGGGGAGACCCGGAAGGACCCAGAGTAGGCCTCCGCTGATCCTGGGGTCCGAAGATTTGGTGGGGAGGAGCCTGGAGGCAAGGCCTGGGCTTCTGGGTCACTGAGGCACCCCTGGGCTCTGCTCACCTCCTCTCTCTGCCCGTCACACTTGGGACCACCAGGAAACAGCCCTCCTTCCCTCCCTGCAGCCTTCCTGAGGGAATAACTTGCTTAGACTCAGGGGTGGGGGTGTTGCCTCTTGGTCCCGTCTAGCCATGTGACCCCGGGCAAGTCTGCCTGCGCGAGCCTCCATTTCCTACTTTGTTAAAGCTGTGGCAAGATGAAAGGCACCAAGAGTCAGGTGTCGTGCTCAGTAATCAAGAGGGTGCCCACGGGCCTGACTGCTGGTTCTCATCATGGCCTCTGTCCCTGGCCTTCCGGGTGCCCTTTGCTTTGCCCACTCAGCCACGCCCCCTCCTCCTCCCTCTGTGCCAGCCTCCTGTCGCACGCGCGCTGCTCTGGGGGCGGGGCTGTCCCCGCAAGCCCTTGGACTGGCCTGCTCGCTGAGGACGAGATCCAGGCCCCGCCCGGTGGCGCCTTGGAGCTGGCAGCCCCCAGAGCTCTATTGGTAAGGCCGCTGTGAACAGAAAGTGAGGAAAACGAGGCCCAGAGTGGGTGGACGCCACCCCCTACTCACAGCCTCCTTATGGCTGATTTGGGGGCTGGAGCCAGAACTGGCTGCCACCCACTGGAACCGCTGGGGTCCCATCTCACCGCAGCTGAGGGGTGGGGTAGAGTCGGGGGCCGCCTCCCCCCTCGCTCGTGTCCAGGATCCCAGGGGTGGAATTAACTTCTGGTGCCCCTGCCGGTGGGGTGGTGGCAGTTGGGAGCCAGGCCTTTGGGGGCAGGCGCCTGAGGACATGGCACTGTCCCTTTTGCTTGAGGGCCACGGTCGGGGGTGTGACATGCCCTTGAGCCCAGGCAGAGGAGAGCAGCGGGGACAGGACCTGACGGGCTGGTACAGCGCCCAGAGGGGCCTTGGTTCCTACTGTTCCCCGCTCTGTTTACAGACAAGCCGCTGTCCTCCCTGGGCGAGGGGAAGGGGTGGGGCAGATGGCGAGTGCCAAGGTGGCACGAGGCTGGGCATGTGCCTGGTCACAGATAGTGTCTGAGGAGTGTCTCACACCTGGAGGGGTCACTCTGAGGACCCCCGCCCCACGGGAGCATCTTGATCTCTTCCGAAGCTGACCTCTGACCTGGGGGCAGCCAGAATCCAGTACCCCCCAGCCCCGCCCTGGGCCCAGAGTCCCCCATCAGTGAGTCTTGGCTCTGCTTATAGCATCTGACGGCAGAGGGGCTGAAAATAGCCCCTGAGTGTGGGGGAGGAGGGGGCTATTTAAAGGGCCTGGGAGGAGGAGAGCCCAGAGGGAGTGAGCAGTCGTCATGGCCACTTCAGAGCTGAGCTGCCTGCTGGCGGAGGAGAACAGTGAGCGCAGAGAGGCCTTCTGGGCTGAGTGGAAGGATCTGACGCTGTCCACACGGCCTGAGGAGGGGTGAGTGCTGGCCAGTCAGGGGGCCCCATCCTCTCCCTCAGAGCACCCTTCCTGGGACTCATGAGGCCAGACCACAAAGCCCAGGAGAGGTTTTGGGGGGTGGGGGCCAGGAGATTGCCTGCTGGGGGGAGTGGAGTCGCCCCTCCGGCACTCCAGGTCCTGGCAGCCCCAGGGAGCTTGCCAGCCAGCCGGTGAGTGGCGGGCAGCCGTTCTCGGCTTCAGTGTCCCTGCCCCTCTCCTTCTCAGTTGCTCCCTGCATGAAGAGGATGCCCAGCGGCATGAGACCTACCACCGGCAGGGGCAGTGCCAGGCGCTGGTGCAGCGTTCCCCCTGGCTGGTGATGCGGATGGGCATCCTCGGCCGTGGGCTGCAGGAGTACCAGCTGCCCTACCAGCGGGTGCTGCCCCTGCCCATCTTCACCCCCGCCAAGGTGGGCGCCACCAAGGAGGAGCGCGAGGAGACCCCCGTCCAGCTGCAGGAGCTGCTGGCCCTGGAAACCGCCCTGGGAGGCCAGTGCGTGGACCGCCAGGACGTGGCCGAGATCACCAAGCAGCTGCCTCCCGTGGTGCCCGTCAGCAAGCCCGGCACCCTCCGTCGCTCCCTGTCTCGCTCCATGTCTCAGGAGGCACAGAGAGGCTGAGAGGGACGGTGACTCGGGCTCCACTGTGCCTGCCCTGGGCGGGGCCCTTCCTGGCTAGGACCACGGAGGGGAGCTGCTGGCCACGGACGCTTCGTAGTTTGCCCAGAGTTGGGGGCTAGGGGAGGAGGGAGCCAGAGGCCAGGAGGCCTGGATCTCCTGAGTTCCCGGAGGGAGGGGAGCGGACGATGGGCACAAAAGGTGAAGAGCTGGGGGCCAGCACAGCCAAGTACCCCCAGCCCCAGGAGGAAGGGCAGGAGAAGCTGATGAGGGCAAGAGGTCCCTGAGAGGAGTGACCCCAGTCCAGATTTCAGCTTCAGAGAAGGATGAAGAAAGACTGTAAGAGGATCTGGAGTGCTCTGGAAGGAGACTGGAGGGAGGGGGACGTGACGAGGGCAGAGGCAGGGTGGAGCCCCCAGCACCCTCTGTTAGTGCTGCAATAAACGCTCAATCACATGCCAGAGTTTCGTCTCTTTTCTTCTGGTTGAGGGGTCCACCCATTGGTGTACCCCCCCCCCCACGCTCACTTCTAGGAACAGGCCCTGCATCTCAGCTAAATATGGCAGAATTAGTGGGTCACCCCATGCTTGCGGGGAGGGGCTGTTGGGACAGAGCAGTAAACAAGGCGGCTATCTGTCCAGTCCCCCTGACTGCCGTGGGCCCTGGCCTCTGCCTCTAGCCCTCTGGCACTGTGCAGTGCCCAGGAGGCCAGTTGGCATCCAGGGTTTGTTGAAATGATCTCATGGAGAATAAGGAGGGGGCTGGCACCAGGACTGTCCTTAGCTGTGCCAGGGTGTGGTTGGGGTCACTGACCCCAGGGCTGACCTCTCTTGGTTCTGAATCCAGGCGGAATCAATCCTTATCTCATGGAGAATAAGGAGGGGGCTGGCACCAGGACTGTCCTTAGCTGTGCCAGGGTGTGGTTGGGGTCACTGACCCCAGGGCTGACCTCTCTTGGTTCTGAATCCAGGCGGAATCAATCCTTGGCTGGGGTCAGGTGTTCCACCCTCCCTGGCCTGGGAGCCCAGGGTGGGTTGTTGGGAGTGGGGTGTGTGTGTAGGGGGTCAGGCTCCTGTCTGACCTCTGCAGCTGTTGCGGTAACTTATGCCCCAAACTGGCTGCCTGGCCCAACTGGAAGACACTTTCTCCTAGACAAGGTGTGGGGTGCAGGTGGCACGGAGGAGGCCTGGGCCCCATCTTGGCAGGGGCTGGTAGCCTACCCAGGGTGGAGAGGCACTATACTTGGTCAGAGGGGGGTCCTACTCCAGGAAGACCATGGAGATGGCCCCCGCAGAATCCACTTCCTATTTGGGGGGATAGGAGGGGAGAACCTGGCATCTTGACAGTCTGGTACCTGGAGTGCCAAGTAGTCTGCAGGCCGGGCCTGGTCCTGCTCCCCCAGAGCGGGCTGGAGTGTGGACTGTGAGATGAGAGGGGTCAGACTCCAGACCAGGCGACACACCTAATCCCTTGGCGTCCGAGGCTGGGCTCGCATCCCCTGGTAGCCCTGGCAGCCTGGAGAATGTACCCTGTGCCCTTCCGTCCTCACCTGGGCCCCTGGCCCTAGACGTGACGGGAACATCATGAGCCTTCCCGACACAAGCGGCCGGAAGCCCACAGGGCCTGCAGGGAAGGTCGGGCTGTTCTCTCCGCTGCGCACATTAGCCCCACTCGCCTCCCCTATCGTCACTGCCATCTGACGGGCGGGGTCTACCAAGACCGTGGGGAGGCCAGAACGGACTGTCCTTTCTGGAGTCAGGGTGGGGAGCGGGTGGGGCGCGGGTGAGAACGCTAGAGAACCCTGGGATGGAAGAAAGGCCTGGAGGAGGGGAGCTGGGGAGACCTTACTAAGAAAGGGGGTGATGTTGGAAAGGGTGTCCCGGAGATGGGGAGCCCGGCGGGGAACTGGGCCCTTGGTGGAGAGCACTGGGAGCTGGGAACTGGGGACAGGGCTAACTTGAACCCTGGCAAAAGAGAAGGGAAGGGATGCCAGGCAAAAGGGGTGAATGCAACGTGGAGGTGCTGGGACTGGCAGCTGCGGGGGTCTGTAGAGTCTGGGGGTAGGACGCTGAGGGGCAGGGCGTGGGAGCTGGTCTTGGAGGGCAGGTGAGGCAAAGAGTGGAGGGCAGCCGGGAGCAATGGTGGAGCAGGGGCGGGGACGGATGCCCCCCTCCATCCCACCCCCGTGTGTCTGCTGCAGGGACACTAAAGGAGATGGATGGGATAGGGAAGACGCAGCGCGTGGCCCCAGGCAGCTCATCGCTCAGCCGCCGCCCCCGCACCGGAGGGGCCAGGGCGGGCGAGCGGGGGGTCGCGCCGCAGATAAAGGCGAGCGGGGCTCAAGGGCAGCCGCGGCAGCAGCATGAGCGGGACAAACCAGAGTCAGGCGGCGGGCGCGGTTCCCGACTCAGACCAGGGCCTGGCGGCGGTCGCCTCGGCCTACCAGCGCTTTGAGCCCCGCTCCTACCTTCTCAACAACTACGCGCCCCCGAGGGGGGACCTGAGCTGCCCCGACGGCGTCGGGCCTTGGAAGCTGCGCTGCTTGGCTCAGACCTTCGCCACCGGTGAGCGCGGCGGAAAGAAGACATCAGGGAACCAGAGGGGCAGCACGCGAGAGCCCAAGGTCAAATTAAGAGGGAAAACAGAAGAGGGGCAGGAACGCTCACGTGAGAGGAGAGACACGACGAGAGGGGTTCAGAGCCGAGAACTCTCAGAACTGAGAGGAGAGGTGGGGCAGGCGGAACCCTGGGGGCAGGCGGAGGAGAGGCGCTGCCAGGCATCTGAGATTTCCCCCAACTTAATCCTCACTGGTAGGCAGAGTTTATGGTTGAGGAACCTGAGTCTCAGAGAGGTTAAGTTCATTTCCCAAGGTAAGTCAGCCGATGCTGGAGCCAGGACTCAGACCCTGGTCTGTCTAACTCCAGAGCTAGTGCTTTTTCCAGATAGAGAGCCACTTAACACCAGGAGAAAGAGCAGAGAAGGGGCAAAGAAGCAGGAAAGGGAGGCAGTGACTGAGGCTGGGGGCTGCAGGCCTAGCGCCAGGGCTCGCTTCCTCTGCCCACCCAGGTGAGGTGTCTGGCCGCAGTCTCATCGACATCGGTTCAGGCCCCACTATATACCAGCTGCTCAGCGCCTGTGCCCACTTTGAGGACATCACCATGACAGATTTCCTAGAGGTGAACCGCCAGGAATTGAGGCTCTGGCTGCGAGAAGAGCCTGGGGCTTTCGACTGGAGCGTGTACAGCCAGCATGTCTGTCTCATCGAGGGCAAGGGGTAAGGGCTGGGGGGTGAGGGTTGGTAGGGGGTTTCCCGGGAGTGACTGGTGGGAGGCAACAGAGAACTGAGTGTAGGCACCCGGAACCCTGGTCCTGACCCTGCCTTCTGTCCCCCAAACAGGGAATCCTGGCAGGAGAAGGAGCGCCAGCTGCGAGCCAGGGTGAAGAGGATCCTGCCCATCGACGTGCACTGGCCCCAGCCCCTGGGCGCTGGAGGCCTGGCACCCCTGCCTGCCGATGCCCTGGTCTCTGCCTTCTGCCTGGAGGCTGTGAGTCCGGACCTGGCCAGCTTCCAGCGGGCCCTGGACCACATCACCACACTGCTGAGGCCTGGGGGGCACCTCCTCCTCATTGGAGCCCTGGAGGAGTCATGGTACCTGGCTGGGGAGGCCAGGCTGGCAGTGGTGCCCGTGCGCGAGGAGGAGGTGAGGCAGGCCCTGGTGCAGAGTGGCTATGAGGTGCGGGATCTGCGCACCTACACCATGCCTGCCCACCTTCAGACGGGTGTAGATGATGTCAAGGGCATCTTCTTCACCTGGGCCCAGAAGAAGGTGGGGGTGTGAGGCCCCTGTGCACGCAGGGCCAATGGCCCTCACCCACCTAGATTCCCCGTTGTCTGCGGTGCATCTAATAAAGAAATAAGTTCTGTCGGTTGATGTAGGTGCTGTCTGTGGCTCCCAGGGGAAGGGCTCTGTCTTATGCTGTGGGGGTATGGGAGGCATCGGCCCTGGTCTTTTCCCCCCAGAAGCTTCCAGAAAGGTCAGTTTCTTTTCACTCATTCTTCCCGAACTAAGGCAGGCCAGGGTCACAGGGAGCTCGTTCAGCATCTGCTGTGTGCCCTGCACCTACTCGGTCCCTTCCGTCCCCACACTCAGCAGTACCCTCCTTGCAGGTGAAGCTCAGAAAGGTTAAGAACCAATAAACAGTAGTGGAGCTTAGTGGAACCCAGAAGGGGAGGCAGATGTAAGTGGGACTTGTGGCCAGTGGAGTTACCATCCAGTCACAAAGACCCAGAGATGGGAGGGGAGAAAAACGGGCACCAGCTCCCTCCTCCAGCCCCCACGATAAGTGGGACAGGAGCTCCATCCATATCTGCTGTTGCCCTGAATCGAGTTCCTGCCATCCCAACTCCCATGTTCCTAGCTAGAGACCCCTCTGCCCTACTGCTGCTTCCAGCCAGCTCTCTCTTCTTCCCTCCAGCCCATCCTACTCACAGAAATGAGCTGGAAAACAGCAGGTGAGGCAGAGAATTGGTTTATTAAGAATGTCCCTTGCCACCCTCCTCACCTTAAAATAGTTCTTAGTATCAAAAGAAGTTAATGCAGGCCACCCAAGTCCCTGAGGTTGGAGTCCTAGCTCAGTGCCCCAGGGAGGGGAAGGGGAGCAGACTCCCTGTTCCAATCAGAGACGGCCGTAGGATGGAAAGTTTCTGGAGCTCCACGGTCTATCTGCGTGGAGCAGGAATGTGCTATGGCTGCTGGCAACTGGCAGGGGTCACCTTTACCACGGCATAGGCACAGCACTGCCCCTGCCTGCTTCTGGGAAGACCAGAGACCACAGCCAGCCACGGTCTTCTCCCCTCTTCCCCCAGAGTGCCCCTTACCAACCCCCTCACCCTGGGTCAGGAAGTGGGAAAGGGGCTTAGCAGGCAGGGCACTGCGGTAGGGGATGGCGAACCATGTCTAGGCAAGGAGGATCCCCATTTTCCTTCCTCCCTCTGCCTCCCAAGGGGCTGGTTCTGGGGGTGATTGAGTTCTTGAGTTGTGTGGCAGCCCTATGAGGTTTGTAAAGAGAGGGAGTGCAAAAGAAAGGAACACATGTACACACATGCAGCCTGGACACCCTCACCCCTGCCAGCGCTTGAGGACATCCTGGCCCTCTGCCTGGCCTGGGCTGTGTGCAGGGCTGGTGTTCAGCCAATGGTTGCCCACAGGATTTGGTCCCCCCACCCCCACTCCCTTGCACTCACACTCAGTCTCTGCACAGTCCCCTAACCCACACTAACCGCCTGCCCCCCAACACACACACTTCAGAACCACTCACACACATCCACACTTTCTGCCCTGCGACAAGGCCAGTGCTCACCACCCCACCCAGCATCCCACACACCCCAGATCTGCGTCTACCACCCCATCAACCTACACACTTGGTCTCCCTCACACACTCGTGTGTGGGCTCCCAACCAGAACAGCAACTCAGGAACCAGAAGGATTCCTGTCCTACGCTCTCTGGGGTCCTGGCTCCAAAGAGGGAGTGTGGTGAGGCCTCCCGGGGGTCTGACTGGGGCAAGGCTGAGTGCGACTGCCCCCCAATCCCTACAGCTTACTTCCTCTAGATCCTATGAGATTTGCTGGGAAACTTGGGCAGCTGAAGAGCAAGCGTCTACTGCCACCTAGCGGTGCCCTGAGGCAGACACGGGGTTAACAGAAAGGGCCTCACTGTATCCCCAAAGGCCGCGGTACCTGCCCTCCCAGATAGGCAGAGGGTGCTGGGAACCACCCCGGCAGTGAGGGGATGTGAGGAGGAGGCTGACAGGGACGGAGAGACAGCCTCCTCTCGGTGGAGCTAAGAACACAGTTCCGGTCCAGCTCAGCTCCAGGGACCAGAGGGGTTGCCCATTTTCTAGCCCCAGATGTTATAAGGCCAGGTCTGCTGGGAGGCCAAGACCTGTAGGGGTCATGTGGGGGCTGAGCAAGGGGTGGGCAGGTTACATGATTCTGGCCCCACACCCTTTGTGTCCAGGTTCAAGATGCTGAAAGGAAAACAAATCATCTCAAGGACTTCAGGGGAGAAGGGGAGCCAGCAGGGACGGACAGGATTCTCAAGAGGGCAGATCCACTTCTGAGACCTTCAGTCCAGCTTGACCTTGCCCTCTGACTCCTTCAGCAGGTAGAGGCTGTCATCTTCCAGAAAGCTAAGGGCGGAGGGGGGAGCCCACTGAGGCAAGGCACAGCTCTGGGAGCGTCCCCTGGGGGCAGGGGCGCGTGGCGCATGCAAGCTGGCCTGGTGGGGAGTGACAGGTGCACACAGGCCTCTGAGAAGCCAGAAAGGGAGGGCACAGAGGAGGTGAGTGCGGGCAAGGAGGGGCACCCACCTGAAGAAAAGGACGTGAACGGGGATGGTGCTGATGTGCCAGATGGCATGGGCATCCAGGACCCAGAAGAGCGGCGGGAAGTCCAGTAGCTCGAGCAGGGACAGCCCCTGCAGCAGCAGGACCACCGCCACGCACTTGTGCACGTGCGGCAGCCGCTGGTTCCGCAGGCACCAGGCCAGCCACCAGGCCGCATTCACCAGGCCTGGGCGCGGGCAGGGGTGGGGGGAGGCTCACTCCCTGGACCTCCTTTCCTCCTCCCCAGGTCTCCCCTCTGTGACCCCGGAGCCACCCTCAGGAGCCTCCCCCGCAACAACCCCTCTCTCCCACCCCCCAATTCTTCCCTCTTCCTTCACCCTCAGGGTCTCTCTAGAACCTCCTTCTCTGGAGACAGCACCAAGGCCCACCTCCACCCCGAGCCAGCAGTTCCGCAGGCAGCCCAGCCCTCCCCGGAGCCCGTCCCGCTCACCCATTGCCACGTTGACGGCCATATTGTAGCCATAGTCGAAGCGGACGAGACTCAGGTAGGAGACATGCGCCGTCAGCATGAGCAGCAGGAGGGCCCGGACGGCACTGGCCACGGCCGGGTGCTGCAGCCCCACGGTCCTGCCCCGCCACCCAGAGCTGCTCAGACTGAGTGACCGGTCCCCACGGCAGCATGCCCTGAGGCACCCCCTCACCCCAGCAGCCATGCAGGGGAGCCAGGCCAGCAGGGCAGGCTTCCAATCCCCAGGGAGCCAGCCTGTGACCATGTGCTACATATAGCTCCTTGGAAAGACCCAGGGCCCCCCATCCCATCATGAAGTCCCCTCCAGACCCGTCTGGATCCTATGTGCATGCGTGATGAAAGCCCTGGGGGAACAGCACCCCCAGGGAGGAGACTGGTGACCCCTTTCCGCCCCCAGGGCCTGATTTTGCCCCCAGAGCAGCCAAGACGGGCTCACCTGACACAGCAGAGATAGACTGAATGCAGGATGACGGAGGAGGCACAGAAGTAGTCCATTTTCTGAGGGCAAGGAGAGCTGGATGAGGGACCAGTGTGAGGGCGGCAGGCCGCAGACAAGGCTTCACGGAAGGCAGGGCCCGGAGAAGACCCACCAGGGATGGGAGTGGCAGAGAGCCAGCCAGAGTCTAATGTGGGAGTCCCAGGCCTATGGCCAGGGGGATGTCTCATGCTCCTTTCCTCTATCGCTGTTTTATGTCTGAATTCAATAGACTGACCCTTGCATTCACATTATACAATTAAAAAAAAAAATGTACTCAGCAGCAAGGGTTTAGAGGTGTGCCGGCCAAGACTCCAGAATGGAAGAGTGTGCGCAGACTTCAGAGTGCAGTCTGGGTTCAACAGCTGTGGGCTTGAGTCTGGATTGCCCCCTTCAGTGGCTGAGTGATCCTGGGCAAGTGATCTCACCTGTCAAAGGCTCAGCTGCCGCATCAGCTAAGAGCCAGTAATCACACCTGCCTCACAAGGGTCAAGTGAGGCTCAAGTGCACGAATATGCTGAATAAAGCTCTGCACAAAGCAATGTTTGGTGAACCCAGTCAGTATGAGAACTAAGAGCCAGGTCTGCCCCACCGATGTCCCTGGTCCTCGGGGACTGTCCCCAGCAGAAGACAGAGTGGGAGGGCGCTCACCTCTGTGAGGTCGGTGTCCCTGGTGTGGAAGACTGTGGACCAGAACCAAGCATTGAGGGAGACCTGAGGAGAGAGGCAGCCGGTGAGCGTGGCACCCAGGGGCGGGGAAGACCCCCCAGAGGGTTCACCTCCATCTCACTTTGGGGAAGGGGAGCTGAGAAACATGCTTCCCTGGGCCCTGAACAAACCCATGCCGCTTCACCCCCACCCAGCCTGGGTCCCTCAGACTCAAGCTTCCCACCCTTGAACACCCCCCAAGGCTGCGACGCTGCAGCCTCCATAGGTTCCGGCCTGGCCTGGGAACCAGTTCCGGCAGTCAAGTTCCCTGGTTACTCAATGGCTAAGACAACAGCCCCCGGGGAACCTCACCTCCTCCCCCAACTGGCAGGTGATGACAGCCCCACCCGGGCCAGGGGAGCCGGTGACCTCAGCCTCTGGGGGCGGGAATGAAGTGGGTGGGGTGGAGGGGCTTGAGCCAGCTTGGGGTGTGTCTGGAGCAAGCAAGCAAGGGAGGGAGATCAAGCAGATCCCACTGGGGCCAAGTCTCGAGGAGGAAGCCCAGCCTTCCCCTGGCTGGGCCGGCCCAACCCGCCAGGCCAGTGGCTGCTGCTGGGATCTGGGAGGAGCAAAGCAGCAGGGTTGGAGGGGCTGTGGTGGGCAAGGACCCAAGGGAACACTGGAGGCCTTTCTCCTGGAAATTAACTGCAAGAAGACAGTACAAATCATCTTGCAAATGAGCCCTCACTCTGGTGGGAGTTGGTGGTGGCATTTTTTTGCAGGGACTGCTAAAACCCAACTTACTGAAAGAAGGGTGGGCTGGGGTGGAGACACACAACACTGGGTTGGGTGGAAGGGCTGGGAAACCAGTTAAAGGAAGAAACAGCCAAGGTCTGGCCTGGAAGGCCCTGGGGGTGGGGAGGGAGGCACTAGGGTGGTACAGGCCTGCCATAGATGGGTAAAGGCCAGGAGCTGCTCACTTGGGTCCAGTGTACCAGGAAAACTGACCAGGCAGGGGACAGAAGGAGCAGGGTAAAAAACCACTTTCCCCCTGGTATGCAGCAGGAAGGCCAGGTGGTAGGATGAGTTCCCTAACACAGGCTTGAGGGGGCTTGTGAGGAAACGGGGAGAGCAATGGGGTGGAGGCGTAAGCTCCACTGCAAAGCTGCTCAAGCCTGGAAGTCTCTGGAGGCTCAGGGAGCCTGGTGAGCCTGTCTGGCCTGGGTTCAGGGCTGACTCTTGCTGCTTCTGCTCCTCAAGACCTGGGCACAGGCCCTGCCCTTCTGGACCCAAGCTCCCCCCTGCGACAAATCAGGGGGCTGCCCAAAGTGATCTTTTGTCCCCTTTCCAGCCCTGATGTCAGGTGATTAGTCCAGGTCTTTTGAGGACAGCCATCCTGTCCCATCCCTGGAGACTGGACCCCTTCCCCAGAGACGGTAATGGGGCTGGTCTGGAGGCTGGAAAATGGAACAGGACGAAGTCCTTCCTCAGACTCTGCTTCTGCGAAGTCTGTGATGCTCGGGTCAGAGTAGGGAGAGAAGCAGGCTCAGTGCTGGAGACGGGGCCCAGGTGATCACGGGGGCCAGGTCTCCTGGGCAGGCCAGACCCAGGGACACCGTTGGGGCGGGAAGTGGCCCTGAAAGCCAGCGTGACGGGGAGGCAGAGGGGAGGCAGTAGGCAATGGCAGCCAGCCAGGTCTCCTTGCCACCCATGGCAGGAAGGGGGAGGTGACAGAATCAGCGCCAGCTGGAGGGCTGTGGGGGAACGCACAGGGCTTCGCTCTAAGGGGCAGGGACTGGGGTTGTTTGGTCCCCTGTCCAACTGCCTCCCCGGGGTGCCTTCCACTTACAGAGACCCACCTGAAGCCTGGACTCTGCACCCTGAAAGATCCCCTTTCCCCTGGGGAGTGTCTCATAATGGGGGACTCCTCTTCTGACCTTCTCCTCAGACTTGGGAGACAGTGTCATTAAGAGTGCAGGCCCTAGGGTCAGACTGCCAAGGTTCAAATCCTGCCTCTGCATTTCCTGTATGTCCTTGGGCAAGTTATTTAGCCTTGTTGGGCCTCAGTTTTCTTATCTGTAAAATGGGAACAATCATAGTATTGATAAAGATTTAACGAACAAAACAAGTACAGTGTACAACGCAGTGCTCAGGGCAGGGTCACACATTAGGACTTACTTCTCCCTGCCCTGCTTTCCAGTGTAGGATCCGCACACCCCTTCAGAAAACCAAGGCCAAAGAGCCCAAGTCTGTCTCCCACTCTCTGTGGTGGCCAGGGACAACTAGGCTGAGAAAGGGTGGTCTCCCCAAATCTGCCTTGGCCCAGCCACAGTTCCAGGCTGGGGGCAGGATGTCTGGAGCCTCCATCATGAGATGGACTCTGGGTTCAAGTTCTGTCTCAACCCCTAAACAGCTGTGTGATCTGGAGCAAATAATAGCTTCTCTGAGCCTTAGTTGCCTCACGTACACAGCAGGGTTCAGAATAGCACCCACTGCGTAAGAGGGTCCTGAGGACGATGTCTGCAAGATCCCAGGCACAGCGAAACCACTCAGTAAGTGGTGGCTATTCCTGGGCCTGGCACACAGTAGGTAGCCCAGAAATATCGGTTTCCTTCATCATGTCCAGGGACTGACCCCCACCACCGCCCTTCCTCACAGGCCACAGTGTTCCAGGGAAAACCATGGAGCCCCAGGGTCTCTTGGTCCCAGAACACAGACGCTGCAGCTGTCGGAAGAGCCCCCTCCTCCCTGCTCCTGAGCGACGACCCCACCAGGACGCACTGAAGGGAGGTTACTTCTCTTCGCTCAGAGTTTGTCATTAAGACTCAAGTTTGGGAACAGAAGGATGTGAAGGACGGGAGGGCCCAAGCGTACGGCTGCTCCCAGGCTCTTCGGCCAAGCCCGAGTAGAATGGGGGAGCTGGGGGTGGGGGTGGTAACTGGCCAATCAGACAGGCCAGGAGGGCCATGGGCGCCAAGAACTTTGCATAAACACTGGGGAAAGGGGGAGGCCAGGGGCAGGGTGCCAACGAGGGTGGAACTGGAGGGAGACACGGCAGGCTGGGTAGAGGAGAGCAGGAGGCTGTTTCAGTCTGTTGGAAAATAAGAAAATTGAGACAAAAATATCACAGCCGTGAAACTGGTTGGATGCCAAGTGAGCCAGATCTGTCAAGAATTCGACCCCAGTGCTAAGCCCCAGTGCTCGGGGCTGTCATTGACACCGCCGCGGTGGGGACAAGTGGGTCTTTAAATAGCTCGCTGTCTCAGAAGTGGGGGAGGCAGAATGTTAAATATGATGCCTGCTGCCATCCTGCCCCCCCATCCCAGAGGCCTCAGGCAGGGCAAGCTCCTGAGAGAGAAGTGGGCCAGAAGTGGATGGAGACAGGAGGAAGGGGACTTTTTCCACCATCAAAAAGGATTCCTTGATTTCCTGCTATTGCCTGTTCCACTGGTGCCTGTCTGACCGTAGGGACGTCCTTCCTGAAGTCTAGCCATCATTCTGCTGTCTCTTCTCCCAGTTTCCTCAGCAGAGGTGGGGTACAGTTAGTCCCCACCACCATAAATCATCCTGAAGAGACAGTCTGGCCTTTCCTGGCACCCCATCCTCACTCCACCCCAAGGACGAAGGGACAGAGAATCGCTTTAGCCTCGTAGCTTTGGCAGAGAGCAGGGGCCCCCGGTTCCACGAAGTCAAAGATCTGTGGTGGGCTCCTCCAAAGCCTGGCCACTGCCCAGCCCAAGTCCAGCTCTAAATGTCAAGGCAAAGGTTGACTTCTTATGCCAAAGTTTCGTCAGCCCTGCTAAGTGCCGGGAAAAAGCCGCTGAGACCCTTCCCCCTCCCCAAGACCTCACCTGGAGCAGGTGGGGGGGCCTTCCCACTCCAACTCACCAAAAAGCAGGAGCCCCAGTTGCTCCAGAAAACACAGCCCACAACAAAGTCCACAGTCACAACCTCCATACAGCTTGGGATTTTCCCCTCTTGCAAATACACACAGGACTAAAGATCGAGTGTAAAAGCCACACTGGATCATCAAAGACAGTGTGGACACTGAGACTCTGTCCCTCGAGGGCCTCCTGGTGGCACGAAGCGGGGGCCCATGTCCTCAGGGAGTCCTAAGACACAGGCCACAGGTGTCTGTCCTCTCCCAACCCAGCATCACCTGCTGTACCCCTAAGGGCCCTTGTCCTGCTGGACTGCAGGTATGTCCTGGGAGGTATGATCCTCACCAAGACGGAAGCTGGGTGGCAGATGCCAGTGAGACGAAAGACCCCAGAATCAGGGGGGATCAAAGCGAGAGCTGTGAAGTGACCACCGGCCTCTGGCACATGTTATGAAGATGAAGGCGGGGACTCTCTGAGGTCCCCTCAGACCAGCGTGTCTACCCAAGGAGGCTCTGAGTTTGGTTCAGAGAGTTCAGGCAGGACTGTCCTGCGACAACAGGGGCAGGGATGAGGGGGCAGTAAGGGCAGACATCAGTGTCCCTGGAAGAACGAACGCCAAGAGGAAGGGGACAAGTGAGCTCTCCTCCATTTCCCCACCTTTCCTGCTTGCACAGCCAGGACTAAATTCGCTGCTCTGTGTGAGGCCAAAAACAGGGAGTGAGGGCTCTGACCCACCCGGTGACAGGCTGGGATGATGCCAGGCCCCAGTCTGCACAAGCATTCTGGCCCCTCAGTCCGGCACTCAGAGCCCTCTCTGCTCCATCTTTACTCCCTCATCTGCCCTTCAGCCAGCCACAGCGGCCAGGCTGACCTTCCCAAGGATGTCGGTCCGGGCCCCATACTGACCAGCTTCTGCACCTTCGCTCCTGCTGGGCCCCCAGCCCAGGAGGCAGGAATCCAACATCCTCTCCCCTCTGGGCACGTGTCTAAGCCTGACCAGGCCTACGGATCCCGTAGAAGGAGATGCATGCTCCCCTCCTCCCCGTGCTTCCCTGAGAGACTCCTCCACCCAGACCATGTGGTCTCCAGCTCACAGCTCGCCAGGCTCACTCCCTGAGCCCTCTTCGCCTCGGCCTCTATCCTGCCTCCCAGACTGGCCGGAGCTGCACCTCCCACCCAGCTTAGCTCCTTGAGATGGGGGCTTCGGCCACCACAAGCGCTAACCCCTGTCTCTACCCACAGCAGATACCCACTAAACATGCAGCACCTCATGTGCAGACAGCAGCAGGGGGCGAGGTGCTCAGGCCCTGGAGTCAGACAGCCCTGGGGGCCAGCCTGTCTCCACTAGTCACCACCTTGTGAGCTGACAACTTTGCGCATGTTTCCCTGCTCTGAGCCTTCCACAGGGCTTGCAGTGGTATCATGAGGATTAAATGAGAAAATGTACGTACAGAACTTAGGACCATGCCCATCATGTGATCTGAGTCCCGTAACTGATAAAGATTATGAATATTATGGAATGGAAAGTATTAGGGAGGAGCACATTTCCCAGAAGTTCCACAGCCTTCTTCTGGCCCTCCTTCCAGGCCCCATCCCTGAAGTCTGAGGTTTGGCCTAGAAGGCCGGCACCCGACACGACCAGCTTCCCCGAAGCCCTCAGAGACCTTCAGTCTCATCTCATTTGACAGAAGCAGAATTCAGGAAAACGGCCTACTCCTTCCTGTCCTTGTCCCAGGGCTCCCCCACCCGCACGATGGCCTTGTGGTTTTCCACCTGCGCCTCCTTCTGTCTGCATTGCTGCCTCCTCCTCGTCTATCCAGCCATTAAGTTTTGGGGTTTCTCGGGTCTCCATTCCAGATCCCTTCTCTTCTCACTGAGCTCCCCCCTGGGATGACATCCACACTCACAGTTTCTATCACTGTCTTCTAAGCAGAAGCACAGGGCTTGTCCTTGATTCCTTACTTCTCATCTTAGGTCACCTCACAGCCAAGATGGTGTGAGTGTAAACTCTGGAGCCAGATGCCTAGATTCAAACCCTGGCTCCTGGGGCAGGTAACTTAAACTTTCCAGTCCTTGGTTTCCTTGACTGTAAACTGAGGACAATAATACTGCCTACCTCATGAGCTTTTTATGGGATTAACAAGGTTAATATTTATAAAGTGCTTAGAATGATACCTGGCACAGAGTAAGAGCTGTGTATGGGTTTATTAAAGAAATACATTAAAAATTTTTAATGTGACCTCCAAAACATAGCTCAAACACACTTCTCTTTAATACCCCTCCTTCCCCAGACCTGTGCCACCTCTCTAGCCTAGCTACTGTGCCCTACACTAAAATTACCAAATAGCCCCAGCATCCACTCCTGCCTCCTCCAACCTGGCGTCTACACAGAGGCCAGAACAGCAAATGTATTCCCGAAGCCCCTTCTCTGCAACCCTCATTGCTTCCTAAGGTTTTGAGAGTCAAGATCTGAAGTGTTACTATGCCTGCAGGCTCTCCACCTCTATCCATCTCCAGGCTCCCCCTGCTGCCCACCCGCTCACCTGCCTCACACCCCCTCCCAGCTTCTTGCCTGGTTGGCCTCCTGACGTTCATGTCCTCATATAACCTGCACTCTGTCCTGCCAGTGCGCATTCATCCATCATTCTGATTTGACCTCACATACCTCTTCCTCACGGAAGCCTTCTTGGATTGCCCTGTGCTGGTCTAGACCCCACCACACCCCCCACAGCACTGATCTAGGCTTCACTGCGCTTGTTCATAACTGACCTTTTACATTCAATTGTGTACTTATGTGACTGGTACCAGAGGGTGGGGACCCATGTGTTTTTATATGCTTTTGGATTTCTCGCACATAGTAGGTACTCAATACCTGAACACATGGCTGCTTTGATGGAAGCAAAGTGAGCGAGCGGGGGCTGCTTCCCTAAGGTTTACCGTGGTGGCTCTGATCCGGAGACATCTATTGCAACCTCTCCTGCCCTCCCCAAGGTGACTGTGGTTCACAGTCTGTGGTACCACAGTCCTTGTTTCTCTCACACAGCTCCAGGCCCCAGATGCTGGCTCTTCTGACCAGCCACTCTATGAAGCTCAGAGACCTCTCTGGATACTCAGATGGAACATATTTCAGCTTCTCCAGGGATGGTCTAAGCTCCAGATGGACTGCTGTCGCTGCCACGGCCTCTAGGCCTTGGCTGGGGTTGACAGGGCTTTGAACCCTCCACAGGGGTCCTGGGAAAGACCTGTGGTCCCAGAATGCTTCTACCACCCATCTCCCTTCTGTGTCTATAAACTGTCCTACTGTGTGTTTGAGTGGCTTCCTGCTTCAGGACGAGATCAAGGTCTCCTCTACCCCTCCTTCTCAGACAGCCTGACCCAGGATCTTCTAGAAAGCGAAGGCTTGTTTCAGCACCTTCCCGGCTCTCCCTAGGCTGGACCACCCCACAGCTGCAGGTTTATCCCTAGAAAATTGAGGGGAAGCTAGGTGGGTGAGAATGGTGGGTGGCTTCCTCATTCTTGGATGAGGGTGTAGAACAGGAATCCTGCCAGGTTACCTACCCAAGCGAAGACCACGCAGGTGGGGTACATAGGGGAGGAGGCTGGCACGGAGGTGCGGTAGCGACAGAGCATCACCAGGTTGGCCAGGCCATTGAGGAAAGAGGCCACAGCAGAAGCCGGCTCTTGGAAGCACAGGAACCGGGAGAAGGGCCACTGAAAAAGGAACACATGGATGGGGCCTGAGAGTCAGGCAATGCCCAGTTGGCCCCACCCATCTCTGCTTGACCTGCTGCATCCCCAGGTCCCTAGCCGGCTCCTCAGCTCTGGACCTTGGCCAAAGCCTCAGGTGCAGTCCCTCTTCAGGTCAACGAGCTCCCCTGCAGTCCCTGGCTGAGAGTCATCCCTCTATCCTGGCCAGCACTCACAGCACTGGAATGACCAGGCGGGCCAGTGCTGATGGCTCAGTATGGTTGGTGGAAGCAGCACAGTCCTGCCATCTAGAAGACACAAGAACTAATCCATCCTCTACCACTGACCACAGCCCTCTGAGCTTCACCTTACTCTGTGACAAGCTAGGGAGAATAATTCTTACCAACCACAACAGTCTAGAATAAGATCTTATTGGATCAAAGGGTATCAGCAAGCTGAGCCTCTGTGCCTCACTGGGCTACCTGAGGGGGTATTTTTTATTTTAAATCCAGACCCCTACTGAAGAAGCAACAGACAGCATACCAAGGGGACACTCTGGGAATTTGTCCTTGTAGGAAGGTGGGCATCTCAACCACTCTAAGCAGCCCAGCACCACTCCCTGAGGAGACCCCAAAAGCTCCTAGATCTTGTTACCTCAAACCAAGAGGCAGGACACATTGTTCCCATCTGATGATAGGAAAACCAGAATATTTTGAGAACAGGAAACACACACTCATCACCCCACACTCTGGCTTGCTTCAACAGCATGGTCCAACTAGAGGCATCTAACTCCCACCATATACTTAACCTGACGCTCCAGCTCACCTTGCCATGGAACTGAGGCACTTTGTGACCTTCCTGGAGGTAGAGGCCAACGGTGACCCACATACACTCATACTTACAGTCGTCCCGACAGGTCCAACCTGCAACAGATAAATATGGCCTGGTGAATCCCCCAGCACAGGGAGACACAGAGATAGCTCGAAAGGGGCTCAAACCCAAACACAAGCCAAGAGGGCCTGCAGGTTGGGGAAAACCAGAAGAAATCTGAAAATTCTAACTTTCTGCTTGGATGGATGAGTGATGGTGCAACATACACACAGGGGAAAGGTCAGTGTGTGCGTGTAAAGAGTGTATACTGAGCAAACAGAGATGTCTCTTCTCCTTTAATCCAAGATGGAGATTTTGGCATCTGATGGACTCATCTGTGGACATCTGGGTTCATGTTTGCTCTTCCTGAATACAGGATTTGCTCTCACTCCCTAGGGAGAAACCCTTGTTATCTTAACCCCCGCCTATGAAAATGAAGCTCGGGTTCTTCACTCTGACTTTGGAGGCCCCACATTGCCTTTTAAACTTTATTTCCCACTACTCCTTTTCAGGCACCCTGCTCCCTGAGTAAACCAAGCTGCAGGATGTGTCCATATCTACCCAGGGCCTCCACTCTCTGTTCTTTCTGTCTGGTAAACAAAGAACAGTAAAGAGAACAAACTTGCAGTCAAACAGGCCAGAACTGAAAACTCTACTAGTTACTGGCTGCGTGGCTTTGAGCAGGATACCTAACCTCTCTGAGTCTCCTCATTTGTAAAAATCAGGTTAAGAGAATCAATCTCAAAGGGTTGTTGTGAAAAATAACTATTTTGACACGTGTCACACGGTAAGTGTCCACTATGGCCACAGGCCTAAATTTAATGCACCTATCGGGAAGACCTCTCTCTCAGGAATGTCCAAGATAACCAGTGCCCCCAACTCTTCAAAGTCAGAAACGATTCCTTCCTCCCCTACATGCTACTTAATCTAAGAATCCTTTGGGGCTTGAATTACCGTCTCCTTGCATTACGAGCCCCCAATGGTAGGACCCTGGTCTGATTTCAGTGTCATTCCAGTACTTTGTACCCAGGAGGTAGTAAATGCCCATTTGACTGAATAAATAAAAAGTAAACGAAGCTCCTGGCTGACAGGCTATCATCACTCTGGGGCTCCACTCACTCACACCCATAATGGACCCCAGGGAGGAACTAAGGTGCATCATTACAGAGTGGTATTAGGGGGCGGGGCCAAGATCGTTGGGCGGGGCCTACCGCGGGGTGTGTCTTACCTGCTAGATTCATGTAGATTGGCTGGCGGGAGCGGAAGTGCTTTAGTGCACCCCCCGAGCAGTTCCGTTCTTCGCACCGGAGCAAGCAGTCGCGGTACACTGGCTCGCGGTCCCCCTGGGAGCCGCTTGCTATCGCGGCTGCTCCAGCCAGCAGTACCAGACACGCAGTCCGCCCGGCCATCCTTCCACCCCGGCCCTCCGCCGGCGGAGGAGCTTAGGAGCTTTCACTTCCGGAATAAACGGAAGTGCCTTGTGTTCTTTCATCTGCCCTCCGCCGACGTCCACCCCAGTTTAAATAAAAGTTCCCGGGTTTTTGCCGGCGGCTGCCCCGCTCTTCGCCTAAATGTTATCTGCATATAACAAGGCGACAGGGTTAGGGTAAGGGAGACACCGGGTAGGTTAAGAAGCAAAATAAAATGGTATTTTATCAACATTTGTCTTCTTCTCCAGGGTCTTTTTGTTTGAGCTAGGGCTATTTTTCTGTCCCCAGTTTAATCGGATTTCCGCACTCTAATGTACCTGCAAGTGTCTATTTATCTTCCAACTCCACTGGCACCACAACTCTAGTTAAAGAAATCATCATCTGTTGTCCAGGCATCCAAAGTAGCCTCTTCACACATTCCCCTACTTCTACTTACACCCCTCCAGCCCATACTCCATTTCCAAGCATTGACATTTGACCATATCATTCTCCTTAAAATTCCTTACTGGTTCCTACTTGCCTCAAGATAAAATCATAATTCCACAAGCCCTGCATAATCTGACTCCTGCCTGCTGATCTCCCTCATTTCTCTGCTCCAGACTTCCCTCAAGAGGCCATGGCCCTTGACCTTACCTCATCCCCTTGTCCGTATCATTCTTACTCCAACTGATTCTTTTAGTCTCAACTGAAACACCGCTTCTAGGAGTAAATCACACGTGGAGGGTGATATAACATATGGTGGTCTCTGTTCCCAGGCAAGATTGTGGGGGAACCTTGCTGTCTTGTTTACTACTATACTGCCAGCACTAGTACAGAATTTGCCTCAGGGTAGGCCTAGCATAGATGCAAAGGAGATCACATCTATCATCAACAAATGCTAAAAAAAGAAAAATGACATTTAAGTTGAAAGAAGCCATACTAAGACTTGCAGTTGACTTTCAGTAGAAATAAAATTCAGAAGACAGTGGAGCCACATATTTAAAACACAGAAGGAACATTAACTGTTAAAACCTAGGATCTGATATATAAAAATATATGAGACTCAAAAATGAAGACTAATTATGTTTTCTGACAAACAGAAACAAAGAGAATTTGTCACTGCAGACCTTCAGTGACAGGGATACTAAAAGGTATTTTTCAAATAGAAGGAACACGTCCCCCAGTGGGAAGCATACAAAGGTAGGACGTGATAGAGTGAAGGCAGATATGTGCGTCATCTAGATGACTATGGACCACACAAAGTGATAATGAGAAAACTTTTGGGGTCATTTCTTTTGAATTTTATTAAAACTGGTTTATGGCTTCCCAGGTGGCTTAGTGGTAAAGAATTGGCCTGCCAGTGCATGAGACACAGGTTTGATCCCTGGATCGGGAAGATCCCCTGGAGAAGGGAATGGCAACCCACTCCAGCATTTGTGCCTGGAAAATTCCATAGACAGAGGAGCCTGGTGGACTACAGTCCATGGGGTTGCAAAGAGTTGGACACGACTGAGTACACACACACACACACACACACACACACACACAGGCACTTGCTAAGACTGAACATGGAGTTTTTTGGTGTTTTTGTTTGTTTAAGTGAATGAACAATGTAATTCATAAGAATCTGGGTGCCAAAGCTAGGCTATCAAATCACCAGCATGATTCAGACTATGCTGAGATAAGAGAGATATCCTATTTCTAGAAAAACTAAGAGGAGGATCTTTGGGAATAGGAAGTGAAAGTGAAAGTGTTAGTTGCTCAGTCCTGTCTGACTCTTTCCAACCCCATGGATTGTATAGCCCACTAGGCTCCTCTGTTCATGGAATTCTCCATGCAAGAATACTGTAGTGGGTAGCCATTCCCTTCTCCAGGGGATCTTCCCAACCCAAGGATTGAAGCATAATTAGTGTGTGTGTACTGATTGCCTTTTCCTCCACTCCACTCTCTGGATTCTATTCTTTTTTTTTAAATTAATCAATTTATTTGGCTGAACTGGGTCTTAGTTTTGGCATGTGGGATCTAGTGCCCTGACCAGGGATTGAACCCACGGCCCCTGCACCGGGAGCTCAGAGTCTTAGCCACTGGACCACCAGGGAAGTCCCTGGATTCTACTCTTTCACTCTGTCAGCAAACATTTCCTGAGCTCCTAGCCCTAGCTCCAAGGTAAGGCCCAGCTCCAGGAGGCACCATTCATATTTTATGTTCTGTGAATGGCGCTCAGGGGTGCCCCATTCACATGATATTTTCTGCAAATGGTACCTTTTTCAGTTCAATATGACATGAATAGTGTCCCCTGGAGTTGGGCACCCAGTTTGATACTGAATGGGAAACTGAAATGAACAAAACAACCACTCAGCCCTCCAGGAGCTGAATGAAAATAATCGAGTGCTAATGCTATTTTGCATCTGATGGATCAGTTCTTTCTTTTTTCTCGTTCTCTTTAAAAGTTAAAACTAGTTGGAGTATAGTTTATTTACAATGTGTGATAGACTAGTTCTTTTATAATACAATATTTTATTTTGTCCTTACTATAATGCTTGGATGAATATTTTTATCAAGATTCCCACTTAAAAATGAGGAAATTTAGGATTAAAGAAGATGAAATACTGACAGAGTACGGATTCTCCTTTTGAGAAATAGAGCTCTTAAAACTTTCAAGTTTCCAATTTAGGAAGCCTCATCCTGTATTATATCAAACATCCTAAAATGTGGCAGCATGCACATTAAATAAAATTTGTAAATAACTATATATAGTTGAATTGAGTTTCTGTAAATAGTTGACAAATTGCTATATTTTTAATATAGCAATTTTAATAAAATATAGCATCTTTAATAAAATATTGTTTTTCTACAGTTTTCTTATCATATTTTGGAGCTAGCATTGAAAATTCTTTCATGCCTCGAACATTTTTTGGGTCCTTGAAAATTCATGGCTATCCAATGGAGAAAATCCTAGATTAAAGGTGGAGAGGTCTGTCATGTTGTCCTGATGGGAGATGAGGTGTTGTTTCTTTGGGACATCTCTTTTTTTTTGAGGGGGGGACATCTCTTGAGAATGTTTTCTGCCAGAAGAAACAATTACCAGGCTTCTCCATCTCCCCACTTTTCAGCCCAGAGACCCTCCTTTCCTTGCTCAAGAGCTCCCTCACCTTAATCTGTTTCCTAACTTGGATTTGGTTTTTTATGTGAGTCACAGCCTGCAAAGTCATTGATTCATTCCTTCAACTCAGGCTTATTGAGCCCTACTGGGTGTTAGCAATTGCACTAGGGGAAAAAAAAATAGATGAATCAGAAATCCTTCCAAGTCTAGGGAAGAGAAATACAAAAGCAAACATTACAGTGTGCTGAGGGCTCATAGGCAAACTGACCATATTCTTAGAATAAAAAATTGAGGGATAGCCTACAATGAGGATTTCTTATAATTTATCAAATAGGTAATACAGTTTACCATGTGCAAGTCTCTTGGGACAGAGCAATGAACAAGTTGTCATCTTTCTCATGGTCAGAGGAGGAAGACAGGCAATAAATGAATACTAAACAAAACACCAGGATAATTTAATTGCTAATGCAAGAGCACATTGGTATGATCACGATATAGGACTGTTTAGCACTGTGCAAAATATACATACCTTTTAATACAATAATTTGCACAGATTCTCTAACCAGCAATTTCTCTCCTAGGTATATCTACATCCACACAATCTCTAGGTATACCTGCACAAGTGCAAATGGGGTAAAGTACAAAGCTATTCAAGGCAGCATTGTTCATTATTTTCAATAGCAGAAAAAAAAGAAAAAACGAAATGTCCAGCTATAGGGAATGAATTACATAAATTGAGGGAGATCCAGGTAATTACCATAGAATGCAAAATAGAAATTAATAAGAACGGGGCAGATTTATAATATCCTGACATGGAAAAACCATCATGATATTTTTGGTAAGTATAAAAAAGCAAGATACAGAACAATATGTGTGTGTCTACACATTACCTCGTGTGAGGAAAAACAAGAGTATATATATCATGTTTGTTATTTTTAGAGACTATACCTAGAAAGTGGAAATAATTGCTGCCTCTGGGGAGAGGTGGAACTGTGTATCTGGGTGACAAGGAAGTGAGAGATGTTTTTTATTCTTGTACTTTGAAAACTTTGTGCCATTTGTATGTCATCAGTTAGAAAACAGAAATAATGCAAAAACTCAGTTTCACATAGTCACAAGCACTGAGTAATATAATCGGAAAACAACCTGAATGAGGGAAGGAAGGCGAAGAAGGAAGGAGGAGGAGGCCACTTTGGATTAGGTGGTCAGAGACCTTTCTGAGAAAGTGACATTTGAGCTGAAACCCGCTTGACCAGAAGAAACCAGCCCTGGTAACACCTGGGGGCAGATTGTTCTAGGCTGAGGGAACAGCCAGTGCAAAGGCCCTAAGGTAGGAACAAGCTTGGCATCTTTGAAAAACAGAAAAGAAAGCTGCATGACTGGAAGGCTCTGAGACCAAAGTGAAGACCAGAGACCAGGTTCTGGCAGGTCTCAAGTCAAGGTGAAGAGTTTAGGCAACAGGAAGTCATTAGGAGGTGTTTTAGCACCAGAGCTAATGAAATGATCTGATTTATGTCGAAAACATTTACTTTGGTATTGTGTGGGAGAAAGAAAGGATTCAAAGGGGGCAAGATCCAAGATCAAAGACCCATGCTTTTGCCTATGGAACTGATGGAAGCTTAGACCAGCTGGTGCTGGCATCGGGAAAAGCTTAGATGAATTGGAAGAGGAATTGATGGATTTTAAAAGATGATTGTATGGGAAGTGCAAGGAAAGAGAGGCATGGGTTCAGTCAATGAAATCATCTGAAACTGGAATTATCTCCCCCATATCTAGACTTCATGATTGCCATAGCTTTATGCTTCTGAAAGCTTTCTAGTCTCTTCTTCCCCAAACCAAAAGCCAGAGGCAAGAATGTCCTCATTCACACCCCAGTCGTCTGTATCTACAGCAGCAA